GGTCTATCTAGATTCTTCTACTCCATTCACCATTTTCATATACCCTCTGCCAAAGATGGTCCTAAGCACGCGTCGTTCGAAAACTCCCAGTGCTCCTCGAGCATTGCCCATTGTCATATTTTTCATGCACAATAATTTTGTTTATTATATATTTGCAGTTCGTTTGCAGCAATTTTTGGAGCGATCCGTGAAGGGGAAGGCTTGCCACTTGTATATCCGAACAGTGGACCAAACAAGCCAGCAACCCCGTCCAAAGTGTCATGCATTATTGACAAATTGGCACAGTGGGTCGATTTAAAGGGAGATCTGGAGGCGTAGCGATCACATTGTCATGATTGTCTGGTAGTTCACTCAAAAATGCTATAACAATCGCCAAGCTCGCTGTAATGTCACCAAGTGCCTCGTCACCCACTAATAGGCGCCTATGTCAGTGGTCTAACAACTCTTAGCGCGCTAATGGCATAGTTCCCCTGCCGCATAGAGAGTTGCCACAATGATATTAGGTTAGCTAAGGTCAGTTAACTGACTGGTGGGAAACGGGAGCTTAAGCAATGGCTATTCTGTATGCATTTAAGAGATAGTCTACCAGAATGGATGTTTTTTTTTTTGTACAATTTTATGTTTTCTGATGGTTTCGGTTGCAAAACATGAGAATTAACTTTTCCAATGCTTTCAATTGTACAAAGCATTAGAGCTAGAAACATGATCTTGTAAACACTACACACCTTAACTGGTAGTTTACTAAAAAATATGCTGCTACAATCGTCAAGCTCACTGTAATGTCACCAAGTGCCTCGTCACCTACAAATTGGCGCCTATGTCAGTGGTCTAACAACTCTTAGCGCGCTAATGGCATAGTTCCCCTGCCGCATAGAGAGTTGCCGCAATGATATTAGGTTAGCTAAGGTCAGTTAACTGACTGGTGGGAAACGGGAGCTTCAGCATTGACTGTTATGTACGCATTTTTATGATGTAATCTAACAACAAGCGTGTGTAGTGTTTACACGATCATGTTTCTAATTCTAATGTGTTGTTAATATAATTGAAAGCATTTGAAAAGTAAGATTCTAGTGTTTTGTATATCTAAAAACATTAGTAAACATCTACATTTGAAAACATTCAAACAACGTTTACTTTAAACGTTTTGTACATCTGAAAACATCAGAGAACAACAAACACGAAGAACAAATGAAAACATCCGAACAACGTTTAGTTCTAACGTTGTGTACATCCGAAAACATCCAAGAAAGTTTGGTTCCAGCATCGGGAGGCATCTACGTTAGAAAACATCAGAATACATTTACATATAAAAACATCCGAACAACGTTTAGTTCTAACGTTTTTTACATCCGAAAACAACCAAAAAACGTTTGATTCTAACATCAGGAAACCTCTACATTAGAAAACATCAGAAAACGTTTACATTTAAAAACATCCGAACAACGTTTAGTTCTAACGTTTTGTACATCTGAAAACATCCTTAAAACGTTTGGTTCTAATGTCAATAGATTGAAATTTTTGACGTCAGACCGACATTAGAATGGCAAAATTTTGTACCAAAATTTCTGATGTATACACCATGTTACGTTGCTTAAATACAACTAAATCATAATGTTTCCTAATGTTTGACATCAGGCATACATTTCATTTTGATGCTGATGTAGACATCAAAATCAAACGTTGGGCTAATGTAAATTTCTATTCGGGTTATTGAGCAATTTACTTCTGTTTACATCATATGTACGATGCAGCATTGATGGAGCTGTGAAATTAAATGAATATATTTTATGAAAGTTCATCTGGAAAAGTCAAAGATGCACATCAGTCTGATTGTGAAAACATTTTCTTCTTCAATTCGAATATTATATTGGAAGGATTTTACGCAGGCTTGGTGAAAATTATGATTTAATGCTATTTTTCACAAATTTTATATGCAGTCCACAGACAAACAGACGTAACTCTTTGAAAAAGTTTTTCTTGAAAACATAGTATCTCAAAACATAGAACCTCAGTTACGACATCTATCAGGCTTCTCGCGGAAAACAAGCTTGCTCCCTAACTCGCAAACAATATTGCATGAAAGTACTATAGAATGTATAGAAACGTCAAAGTGATCCGATGCCAGCGCAGCGGCGAGTAGTTCGCGAAACTGATAATATTCAAATGGACCGTTAAATGTGTGAACGAAGATACACAATGAAGAGTTACGTCTGTTTGTCTGTGCTAAAATGATGAATGGGCTGCACGTAAAGGAGACGTGATTAATACACAGCAAAAAAATGTAATATCGATCAACGTAATTCAAGCTGATGTACGAAATAATGATGTAATAGCAAAAAGCAGATACAATATTACATCAATGGGTGTAATTTTGTTCGCAAAATCGATGTACATCGTACAACGTTAAATTACACAACCGATGGATTGACCTGGTTGCAGCAGTTTGGATGTAATATTCAACAACTTTTTTTTTTCTGTGTACACAGAAAAAAAAGTTGTTGAATATTACATCACAGACAAACAGACGTAACTCTTTGAAAAACTTGTTCTTGAAAACATAGTATCTCAAAACATATAACCTCAGTAACGACATCTATCTGGCTTCTCGCGGAAAACAAGCTTGCTCGCTAACTCGTAAACAATATTGCATAAAATTTCTATAGAATTATTATTATTTAACTTTATTAGGGACCCGCATAAACGCGAACCATAAATTGACCTTACCTAAAATGGTTAAAAATTGTTTATAATCCCTGCTAAACTTTAACTGAAATGGTTATGGAACTTTACATGAACGTTTAATGATAAAGTTTCAACCTTATGTATTATGGTTTTTTGGAACTGGACCTTACAAATAATGGGTTGTTAAGAACCATTACCATTCCAAATTCTTATTTTCTCCATACATTTTCAGAAAGAGAACTATATAAGAACGTTTTTACTTATGATTTGAGAACATTAATGGTAATGGTTATGGTAGTCAGTAAGGTCCATCAATGGTTTTGTATTATCGCTCAACTTTACGTGGAATATATCGTGAATTGGTAATCAGTAAATTACAGGCAACCAATTCGCGATATATTCCACATAAAGTTGATCGATGTTACAAAACCATTCGTGAACCTTACTGACTACCATAACCATTACCATTAAAGTTCTCAAACCATAAGTTAAAAGGTTCTAATATAGTTCTCTTTCCGAAAATGTATGGAGAAAACAAGAATTTGGAACGGTAATGGTTCTTAACAACCCATTATTTGTAAGGTCCAGTTTCAAAAAACCATAATACATAAGGTTGAAACTTTATCATTAAACGTTCATGTAAAGTTCCATAACCATTTCAGTTAAAGTTTAGCAGGGATTATAAACAATTTTTAACCATTTTAGGTAAGGTCAATTTATGGTTCGCGTTTATGCGGGGAGGCTTTCAGCCTTGGGCTGGTTCGCCTCCAAAGCATTTCTATAGAATATATAGAAACGTCAAAGTGATCCGATGCCAGCGCTGCGGCGAGTAGCTCGCGGAACTGATAATATTCAAATCAACCGTTAAATGTATACACAATGAAGAGTTACGTCTGTTTGTCTGTGATTACATCTAAACAGCTGCACAGTGGTCATTCCGCTGGTTGTGTAATATTTCGTTGTACGATGTATACCGATTTTGCGAACGAAATTACATCCATTGGTTGTAATATTGTATCTGATTTTTGCTATTACATCATTATTTCATACATCAGCTTGAATTACGTTGATCGATATCACCTTTTTTTTGCTGTGTACCTCAAGTCTCAAGATTTTCGGAAATCTTGCACTTATTTTTTGAAATTCACTGTTAAAAACAATATTTTTGTCGAACGTGGAAAAAACTCAATCAAACGAGAACAGTTTTGTGTTATTGTTTACATTTTTGTCCGGGAACGAGGGAATGGTTCCCTCGTTAGTTTTGCATTCATGGCCCGGAAAACGGACACAACAAATAACTGCTAGATTAAAATTAACTATTGTTGGCTTAATAAAAGAATATTGTTATTTTAGCAATAGTTGCAGTTGAAGAGTGGCTTATTAAAACAAAAAGAATCTTATTTTGAATTTATTTGAATAAGTATTATCGAAACAATAAAATGCACTATAATTTCAACCGGAATTGTTTGTTTAAATACAAATAAAGTTTTTTTTGTTCAATGCATACAATTTTCTGTCCAGCAGTTTTGGCGTGACTTTCTACCAGCGATTTCACAAAACTGGACCAACTAATATCTATTTTTTTAATGAAACGCACAAATGTCGGCTACTTTTCTCCAAGGTTGCAAAGACTCATTTCAGCTAAAATAATGTTTTTCGGAATAATAAAACCAAAAGATGGTATGATGGCATGTTTTACTTGTAACTTACAAGAAGAGGTTACAAAGTATGCGTTGGAAACATAAAACCTGTAAATTTTGCTTTCTATGAGTCACAATCAGCGATTTGCTGATCGCTGAGTGAGTGAGTGAGTGAGTTTGTGAAAAATCGCTGATTGTGACTCTCATGAAGTGAAATAAACAGGTTTAATATGTCAAACACATTCTTTGCAACCTCTTTTTGTATCCTACCAATTCAAAATTTGATCATGGCATCTAATTATTTCATAATTTAGAAAAACATTGTTTAAGCTGAAATGAGTTTTTGCAACCTTGCTTTTCTCGTGATTCTAGAAGAAAAAAAATCTCAAAATAATGTTTTATTTCAAAGTGCAAGTGCTAGTAAACGACATTTAAACTGCTCTAATGAAGTGGTTAATTGGAAATAGGAAGAACTTTTCGGTCATCATAACAAAACTTAATTTTTCTCGGATCGGTGCGAATGTTACATTCGACCTCGCTTTCGACATAATGAAAGTTTGCTCTTGAATTTATAATGTTCCTATTTCTCAGCGCCGCTCCAAGCAAAGGCGCCGCTTTTGGTTTGCGGCTGTCAACTTATTTCATTTTCCGCTGCGTTCCTTATCCCGCCTTCTGTCACGCGTAACGCTATCATCGTGCGGTCTTGTGAAAAAGCGAAAGTTGTAGACGCGTCCTCATCGGTGGAAGAAAAAATAATTTTAGGTAAGTAAATCAATGAAATTCAGCTTAATTTTGTGTTTATTTAGGTAACAGAACGCGATGAATCGAGTTGTAGGTATTGTTTTGTTGAAAAAACTCGGAAAACAGTGTTAATTTGGCTATGTTAAGTGTGGTTGTGAGTGGCACGGGTGCATCTTCTTTCTGAGAGGTTATTCTTCGCCATAGAAAGTTGTAGAAAGAAAAATCCCGTTTAGTTTGACATTCAGCTTAAAATTAGCATTCAACAATCAAAATACTGGAATAATTGATCAGTTTACAATGGATCTCCTATCGCAACCCGTTTCAGAACAAATAATGGCAGACTCTGACGACGAGTACGACCGGAAGAGACGCGACAAGTTCCGCGGGGAACGTAGTGCCGGAGAAAGCTATGCGCGGGGTGCCGACAGATCGGATCGCTCTCGCGGTCGAGATGATTGGCCGGAACGGTAAGTTGGTTGGCGTAAGCTAGTAATGTGCGTTCAAACGGATGGTCGTGTAACTTTTCAGCGGAAGACCACGGCAGGACTACCGGGACTATCGGCCACCACAACGGGACCGTGGCTATTCGCCTTCCCGCGAAGGACCTCCGATGAAGCGACTACGCGGCGATGGGTGGGGAGACGACGCCCGGCCTCGGTTTGTGGGTAAGTTGTTTCGAATGCTCAAGTGTGCAAAGGAGAGATCCTGATTTTGAGTCCTCCTTTTAAGGTCATGAATCGTATGGAATGTACGGCTATAACCACGATCATTTCGGAATGCATCCGGCTGCTGGACCGTACGGGCATCCAGCTGGTTTACATCCGCGGGAGCAGCAATCCTCAGGAGACATGCAAACTCAGCCCTGCATGATGACGCTGAAGCAGTTCCTTGCCACTCAGGACGATTCAATTTCCGATTCGGAGGCCATCCAGAAGTACAACGACTACAAGCTGGAGTTCAAGCGGCAGCAGCTGAACGAATTCTTTGTGGCCCACAAGGACGAAGAATGGTAAGATTCGGCAGCAAAATAGCTGAAAGTGATTGATTTCAGTGTTGGAAAAGTTCGCGAGAACTGTCTGACTTGATGAAATTCCGCGAACTTGTCCAACACTGACTGATTTATGTTGGTGTGATGCACTTCTCTTCGGAAGTTGGAAGCACTTTCAGACATTTTGCCCCTGTAAGATATCACAATTGGGCCGGAAGCGAAGATCACCCAACCAGCAGAAGCCACTGAAGATCATCCCGATGTTCTGCTGCCGTTCTTGTTTTTAGCAAATTTAATAACAATTCTTCTCCTTGACAGTGCTAGGTCGAGCACAGCTCTCGAGTCGTTCTTGCGCCTCCTCTGCTACTTATCTGTTGTAAGAAGCACGCACAATGCTATCTCCACTTGCGTATTCGGGTTTAGGAGAACTGTCCCCCTATGCCTCCGTCGTCGCCCATGCCGCGTGACTTAAACTCGAGTAAAGTATTCCGCGCGAACTCTTGGTTAGGGAACCCCAGGCCACTCGAACGTCCGGCGAGCAATGCCGGACGTTCCGCATTCTAAACATTTGATCGCTTCTGATCTCGCGAATTCTCGATATACGACAACACGCGCGCTGTGATGAACAAGAGAGAGGTATTTACATTTCTTAATAATGGTTAAACGATAGAAAGAAATGCTATATTTATGGTAACAGCAGTTGGGAATCAATAATGACTTGTCAAAGCAGTTGCATTACTTTTCTAGAACCACTTGACATTTGCCTAAGGTAAAGTCCATTGCTGGAGAAAGTGGATTACTCACTACCCATTTTTTACAACTAAATATCTTGGATTTTACGTCGAAATGTTGTGTTCGTTTGTAAGGAGTTCATTTCTAATAAAAATTTTGTATTTTTCTTCGTTTCCTGTCTCATTGCTCTGGATTGCTTCACCTATAGGTTCAAGATCAAGTACCATCCGGAGGAATCGCTGAAGCGAAAAGATGAGCAGATGGGATTTTTGAAGGTTAGTATGCAACTATCCATGGTTTTTGGCTTGTTTCTCGCATTGAATAGTTGGTTTAATCATCGCTTTTTTTTCTTCTCAATTCCAGCGCCGTTGCGACGTTTTCGTGGAACTGCTGGACACCGGTGATGTCTCCAAGGTATCGGTGGATACCTCCAATGCGGATCCGTTGCTTCGCCTGCTGGACACGGTCGTCATCAAGCTGGAAGGTGGCACCGAGGAGGATCTCAAAGTGCTGGACGAAAAACCGGTGGAGATTGTTAAGATTTTGCCGGAGAAGCCGAAGGTGGAGGTGAAGAAGGAACCGCTGCTGGAGGATACCATCAAGAAGGAGAAGATCAGTATCAAGGAGGAAAAGGTGGAAGACGCGGAGAAGCCCAAGGAGGAGAAGGATGTTGAGAAGGAGAAGCCGTCGGGAGATGGTGAGGCTGAAGCTGAAGGGGACAAGGAAGGTGAGGAGAAGGAAACAGCGGAAGCTGACGAAAGGGAGGCGGAGCCGGTGAAGGAACCGGAGCAGGAGGAAGATACATCGAGGAAAAAGGATCGCAGGAAGAGAAGTCGATCGGATTCCGGTAGCAGCTCATCGTCTTCGTCGTCGTCCAGCTCTAGTGATTCGGAAGATGAGAAGGAGAAGGAAAAGGAGAAAGAGAAGAAGGATGCAGAGGACGATGAGGAGATGAAGGAGGATGAAGAAGAGACGCCCAAGAGTCCGAAGCCTATTGAACAGGAAAATGAAGAAAAGGAAGATGAGCAGGCGGAGAATAATGGACATAAGAGCGGAGATGAAGGAGAAGAAGGAGAAGAAGAGCCAGCTAAGAAAGACGAAGCAGAGCCTGAGAAGATGGATACCGAGGAGGTGTCAGAAGAGAAAGACAAAGAAGGTGAGACAGAAGAGAAGGAGGATGAGGAGGGGGAGGGTAAAGAAAAGGAAGCGGAAGCCAACCAGCAAAGCAATGAGGAGAAAGACGAAGCGGAAAAGACAGAAACTATTGATTTGGTTAAGGATACAAATGTTAGTACAAGTCCGCGGGCTCTACATCGGACCAGCTCGATCTTTTTGCGCAACTTGGCCCCATCGATAACGAAGGCCGAAGTGGAAGCCATGTGCAAGCGTTACAATGGATTTCTGCGCGTGGCAATCGCCGATCCACTACTGGAGAGAAGGTGGTTCCGCCGCGGGTGGGTTACTTTCCGCCGAGATGTGAACATCAAGGAAATTTGCTGGAATCTTAACAACATCCGCTTGCGAGACTGCGAACTGGGGGCTATCGTCAACAAGGATCTGAGTCGAAGGGTTCGTCCGGTGAATGGACTCACCTGTCACAAGACGATTGTTCGCAGCGATATCAAGCTGTGTGCGAAGATTACTCACAATTTGGACGATAAGGCTGGCCTGTGGAAAGACCAGGAAGACAACGGAGGAGAGAATAATGGGGAATCTTTTGGTTTGCAATCGAAGAATCCCGTTCTGCAAAACATCACTGATTATCTCATAGAGGAAGCCTCCGCGGAGGAGGATGAGCTGCTGGGACTGTCGACGGAAGCCGCCAAGAAGACCAATGACGGAGAACTGGTCGAGCGTGATCCGCAGCTAATTGAAGTTCTAGACAAATTGATCCTCTATCTTCGCGTTGTTCATTCGGTTGATTTCTACAATCACTGTGAGTACCCGTACGAAGACGAGATGCCCAACCGGTGCGGTATTATCCATGCTAGAGGTCCTCCTCCTCAGAACAAGGTCACATTGAATGAAATCCAGGAGTACATTCGGACATTCGAAGGTAAGATGGGTTCGTTCTTGGCCCGTGCCATCGAGTTGGAAGAAGTGGAAATGAAGAAACTCGGTTCCAAGGACGCCGAAGCCGAGGTGGAAAAGTTCATCCAAGCCAACACCCAGGAGCTGGCCAAGGACAAGTGGCTGTGTCCGTTGTCCGGCAAGAAGTTCAAGGGCCCGGACTTTGTGCGTAAGCACATCTTCAACAAGCACAACGAAAAGGTCGACGAAGTTCGCAAGGAGGTGGAATACTTCAACAACTATCTGAAGGACACCAAGCGGCCGCAATTACCCGAGCATCCGGGTAATACCAGGAAAGCACCGTCCGATGCGGCCCCACCCAGTGCTGGGTAAGTTTAATTTTTAGGATGTCAATTTTGGGGAACTTCGGACTAAGTAATTTGTTTATTTTTTCAGATATCGCCCACCGTACGGAATGTCCCATGCTTACGCCCCAATGTACGCTCCGTATGCCCAACCGATGATGGCGCCGGCTGGTCGTGCAAGACCCGGATATGGACGCGGTGGAAGGTGAGTTCCGATGTTAGTTTTCGTACCTTTAGTAGACAAACAGTGCTCGAACTAGCGATAAGTGTCTTCCTTGTGTGTAAATGTACCGATGCTTTCTAGAGATCTTTCGTTTCCTCTTTTCATTTGACCGCACAACTGCATTTTTCTCTTTGAAAGTTCTACAGTATACTCTCTTTCGTTGGGTGATTTTTCACTGTTGATCGTAAAATTCATCCTAAAACGAATCATTTTGCTTCACAGAATTCAAGACGCCCGACGGAACATACAAAATCGATCTAGGTAAGTCGGGATCGAAGATCCGCAGTATTTAGAATCCAATACCCCTATCGTATCTCATAGTGCAGTTCGTCGCGATTTCCATTCGGTGCGGTATCAATTGGTACATTTACACACTGCCCTTTGGATTGTTAGAATAGTAGTTTCAAGGTATCCCACCGATCCGATGTGTTGTTCTACAGCTTTTCTCTAGTTTTGCGCGCCGCTTGCAAAATGCAATCTTGGAACTACTTCTCTACTAGTCCCAATAATGTTTGTTCTATTTAGGAGTCAGTTTAGGTTTAATGTCAACTGATTTACCCGGTTGTTGCCCTTTTTCACAGAGAACCAATGGGAGATTTTCGACGGCCAATTGTGGCGTACAGCGATTTGGACATGCCCAATTTTAACGATTCTTTCCTGTAGGACGACGACGTGACGATTTTCTAGTTACGGATTTAGTTTCCCTAAGGCGCAGCTTTTATAAATTCTGTAGAGCTACCGTTAATAAAAATTTGACCTATCATCAGTTTAATGTTTTAACTAGAGAAAAGCTTGCCGAACAAGCGCTTCATTCCCGGAATGCCCTAACCACCTATTCGTTCAAATGTTGTTCAAATTCTCGTTCATTACATTTCAGAATGGCACCGGATTACCGCCCAGTGATTCACTACCGTGATCTGGATGCGCCCCGCGAACCGGACGAGTTCATCTAAACAAAACATTAACACAATTGGTAGTTGGATCAATCGTAGGTCTGGCCAAATGATAGCATTCACAGTAACAGTTAAATCAAAACTAATTCAAAATTTGTGCATTTCATCCGTAAGAATCCGATAGTTGAACAATTTGAAATAAAGGACGCTGCAACTATGTGTGAAGTTATGATGTAGCTAAGAAGGGAGTTATTTTTGTTTTCGAAAAATCCTTTCTTGAAGACTGCTTTTCCCTCCATTGCACCCGAGCACCAATTCTCTAGGTTAACTCTTTCCCGCCCGGAGTGTTTTGCTATAGTACATTTAAAAAACCAGCCTATCTCTGGAGTGTCTTGAGATATCGACCTGGATTTTCTTTCCAACAATAGAAGAACTAGTACAATAGTTTTACAAAAATAGGCTGTAATTTCAGAAAGTTACAGCACACTGTCAAAAAAGGCATGGTGCTCCAGAGTAACCATGGATGGGAAAGAGTTAATACACTAGTGGAAATTAATATAAAGTTAAGTTCAAATAATCATTTAACTTCATTTCTGAAAAGTTTTAAGCAGATCCAATCGCTAGAAGTTCTCTAAAATCACATAAGAAATACATACATTTAGGCGTTTTGCGAACTAGTTTCTGTGTATCTATGTCGATTAAATTGAAATGTTCTATAAGTTCTGTCGGTTGGATCTCCATAGAACTTAGCAAAAGTCATGTTCAATGATTATTTGAACTAAGTTATTGGTTATTTCAATGCGACAATTAGCTTAGGCATGTTTAAACATGATTCCAAATTGACTAATTCGTACATGGATTATTTTTCAATAATGTTTAAGCTTGCCACAATAGCCAATAACCAAAAACAAAATGTTTGAACTTGATTTTAGTAATGTTTGGCGGGAATCCAACCGGCAGAAGTTATTTGATTATTTGATTTTAACTGACATGGACACACAGAAGTTAACTTGGAAAACCCCTAAATGTATGTATCTCATATTTGATCATCGCTGATCAACAAATGATATTTGTGATGTTCGAGAACTTCTAGCGATTGGTCTGCTAATAACTTTTCAGAAATGTCGTAGTATGCGAAGGGTCCGCAGGTAGCCTTTTACTTGGTCGATCCACCTTGCCCGCTGCGCGCCTCTTCTTCTTGTTCCTGTTGGGGCGCTTTCGAGAACCATTTTCACTGGGTCGTCGTACGGCATTCTTACGACGTGCCCAGCCCACCGTAGTCGCCCAATCTTTGCAATGTGGACGATGGATGGTTCTCCCAGCAGCTGCTGCAATTCGTGGTTCATTCGCCTCCTCCACGTTCCGTCATCCGTCTGCACTCCACCGTAGATAGTACGCAACACCTTCCGTTCGAAAACACCAAGGGCGCGTTGGTCCCCCACAAGCATAGCCCAGGTCTCGTGGCCGTAGAGGATCACCGGTCTAACCAGCGTCTTGTAGACAGTCAACTTCGTGCGGCGTTGAATTGTATTCGACAGGAGCGTCCTCCGGAGTACAAAGTAGGCACGATTCCCTGCCATAATGCGTCTTTGAATTTCTCTGCTGGTATCATTATCGGCGGTCACCAATGAGCCCAAATACACGAACTCATCGACCATCTCGATTTCGTCACCGTCAATCTGAACTCGGGTGGGAGGCTTACATTGTCTTCCCTAGAACCTCTTCCTTTCATGTATTTTGTCTTTGATGCGTTGATGGCAAGTCCAATCCGTCTAGGTTCAGCCTTCAGTCTGATGTACGTTTCCGCCATCATCTCAAAGTTCCGTGCCATAATGTCAATGTCATCAGCGAAGCCAAAGAGCTGGATGGACTTCCTGAATATCGTACCACTCGTGTCTAACCCAGCTCTTCTGATCACACCTTCTAACGCGATGTTGAACAGCAGACACGAAAGTTCATCACCTTGCCGTAACCCCCTTCGAGATTCAAAGGGACTAGAGAGTGTCCCCGATACTCGAACAACGTACATCACTCGATCCATCGTCGCATTGACCAATCGCGTCAGTTTATCCGGAAATGCGTACTCGTGCATAATCTGCCATAGCTGATCTCGATCGATTGTGTCGTATGCGGATTTGAAATCGATGAACAAATGATGTGTGGGCACGTTGTATTCGCGGCATTTCTGCAGAACCTGCCGAATCGGAAAAAAATTGGTCCGTGGTAGCGCGGGCACCCATGAATCCCGCCTGGTATTGCCCCACGAACTCTCTTGCAAATGGTGACAGGCGGCGGCATAGAATTTTGGAGAGTACCTTGTAGTGTGATCGCGCGGTAGTTGCAGCAATCCAACTTGTTGCCCATTTTATAGATTGGGCCATCCACTCCTCCGGTAATATCTACTCCTCCCAAATCTTGGCAATTACCCAGTGCAGCGCTCTAGCCAGTGCTTCACCACCGTATTTTAATAGCTCACTTGGTAGTTGATCTACACCAGTTGCTTTGTTGTTCTTCAGCCGACCGATCTCCTCCTCAACTTCTTGAAGATCAGGGACCAGTAGCCTGTCGTCTTCTGCGCGTGCTCCAAGGCCTGTTGCTGTGCCACCTTCGTTTTCTGCTGCTTCACCGTTGAGGTGCTCGCCATAGTACTGCTTCCACCTCTCAATCACCTCACACTCGTTCGTGAGAAGGTTACCGTCCAAGTCCTTGCACATATCGGCTTGCGGCACGTGGCCTTTGCGCGAACTATTTAGCTTCTCGTAGAACTTCCGTGTGTCGCTTACGCGGTACAGATTTTCCATCGCCACGCGATCTCGGTCTTCCTGCTGACGCTTCTTCCTTCGGAAAACCGAGTTTTGTCTGTTCCGTGCTTGTCTGTATCGCTCCACATTCAATCTCGTGCGGTGTTGCAGCATTCTCGCCCGTGCTGCATTCTTCTCCTCTACTAACAGTTTGCATTCGCCGTCAAACCAGTCATTTCTTCGGTCCGGGATTGCAGTACCTAGTGCCGCTGCAGCAATACTACCTTTGCCGGATCGGATGTCCCTCCAGCCATCTTCAAGAGAAGCTGCGCCAAGCTGCTCTTCCGTGGGTAGTGCAACTTCTAGCTGCTGCGCGTAGTCCTGGGCAACTCCGGCGTCCCGTAGTTGCTCAATGTTGGGTCGCGGCGTTCGACCTTGACGGGTGTTATGCAACGTCGAGAGTTTTGAGCGCATGCATACTGCAACTAGGTAGTGGTCCGAATCTATGTTCGCACTGCGGTGACGTTGATAATGTCGGAGAAGAATTTCCCGTCGATTAGAACGTGATCGATTTGGTTTTCTGCGGGGGAAAAAGGTACTTCGAACTACCATACCCCGGGAGGCTGCAAAGTTTACGCATCGTTGGCCGTTGTCGTTCGATACGGCATGCAGGCTGTTTGGCCCGATTGCCGGTCTATACATTACCTCCCGTCCTACCTGAGCGTTCATGTCGCCGGTGACGATTTTGACACCCCGTTGTGAACAGCCATCGTACACCTGCTCCACCTGCTGCGCATAGAACGCTTCTTTCTCGTCATCGGGTCTCCTTTCGTCTGGGCAGTGCACGTTTAAGATGCTGTAGTTGAAGAAACAGCCCTTAATTCTCAACTTGCACATCCTCGCACTGATCGGCTGCCAACCAATCACGCGTTGGCGCATCTTACCCAGCACTACAAAGCCGGTTCCCAGCTCGTTGTTGGTGCAACAGCTCTCGATGCCCACTTTTCCATACCTTTTGTCCGGTCCAGCAAAGTTCCTGCAGTGCTACGACATCGAAGTTGCGTGGTTGAAATTCGTCATAGATTAAAAAGGGGTGAGACAGGTTTAATCTGAGTTGCTTTTTTGCAGCGAGTAACTCGCGAGTAACTCAATGTATCTCAATATTTAATCGACGTTCATCGATTTTTTCTCTGCTTACTCCGTTTACTCCCTTTAAGAATATGATTCTTGTGAGTTTCCGCCAGGGAATCACCCAGCGTTGGTTCCAGTAGGAGCACGTCTTACCTCTTGCAGCGTCGATGATTAACGATGATGTGTCAACCAAAGATGGTCCAGTCCATCAAGTCCCAACCTTCGTGTCTGCGTTATGTCAATTTGTCTCCGCATGAGCTGACTTTAGCTATGTGTGTCAGAGCACGAATGTTCAGCACACTATGTACTTTTATTGTGCACCACACATCTTCCCTCTTCTCGAAATTAAAAAAAAATGTTATTTATAACTTAATCCAACTATATCATAACAGGATCACCTTACTAAACTTTATCCATCTTGACCGACACAGAAACAAAATCCATTGGCAAAAATACTATATTGATGGTTTAAATTGAATACTCCCACCAATAGATTTTTGCAGAAACGAAATTCATTTAATTTTACTATTTTTTCTATCAAAACTACTATGCCGTTTGAGTAAGCATAGTAGTTTTGACAGAATGGAATGGTAATTTGATTATATTTATAGTCAACTATACTTAAATCATGGTAGATTTAACGGTTTTAAACGTAGTTATACTGAAAATAAGTGTTTTCTGCAAAATAGTATTCCTAACTATTATCATTGTTTCAGTGTAGAAGCCGACATCCTATTTTTTTCCACTGGGCAGTCTATTTACCACAGTGTTATAGCACTGGGAGCGAGACGGGGATTGCAACAAACTGTCAACACCCAAGAGACAGGAGAAGACGAGAATAAAAACCAAAATAATAAACAATAAACCGAGGAAAAGTTCAAAACAAAAAAAAAAAACGCGAAAAGCATGGAAATTGACGAACAGGAACAAACTGTTCCTGGAGGATTCTGCGTGAAAGTTTATTGACCTCTTGACTAGATCTAGTGTTGTTTCTCTCTCGTCAGCTGTTATTTACCATTCGGTGGGAAAAATAGAGACTCCGCGTATTCTTCAGTGCAGCAAATTATTTTTAGTTTTCCGTATGTAAATATATGTAAAGAGAAACCTGTGGCTTACATAAATTTGTTGATTTATGATTAAGTTCAAATTTTATCATGTTGAATAACACTAATTATTTGTTTTAGGAGTTTGCGAAATGCTGTTCAGTGTCAACTGCTTGAACACATCATCCAAATACGCTGGTGCTTTCCTTTCTCGAACTTTCCGTGATGATGTTAATTCTGTCATTTCTACATAAATGAAACCGATGTCACATAGTAAAATTAGGGGTTATCTCAATCAACCAATATTGTGAGGTTCTCATG